ATAGACAGTGCTTATGAGTTATTATCCGGAAAAAAAAATATAAAATAAGTTAGTTCGGAGCATCGAACTTATTGACATAAACTGATTGAAGTCGATATGGATTGTAGAGCAGGTCTAGAACGTTGCTCCTCCTTTGTTCACTTCTTTTTCGGCAGGAGGCTTTGTTTCACGACTTTTGTCACCTAAATTAAACGATTTTGTCATTTTCGATATATTACGCGATATCGCATCGATACTTACTTGCAACATCGACCCATGTATTTGCTGTTGCGCCTGTATTCTGGCTTGAGTCCTTAGCTTCTTCATGGTGTTCTTTTGTGGTGTGGCCCGGAACAAGTTCTTTCACTTTGTCCGTGCCGGTCTTAAAGCCATCACTAACTTTTTCGGCACCCATCTTGAATACACCAAACACTTTTTCGGCACCGAACTTCAAAGTATCAGTAACTTTTTCGGTAGTAGGCTTGTTTTCATGTGGTTTGTCAGCTAAATTAAACGACATATATGTCATTTTCGATATTTTACGCGATATCACATCGATACTTACTCTCAGGAGCGAGGGCTGCCACCGCTTTGGCGCCTGTATTCTGACTTGAGTCCTTAGCTTCTTCATGGTGTTCTTTCGTGGTGTGACCCGGAACAAGTTCTTTCACTTTGTCCGTGCCGGCCTTAAAGCCATCACTAACTTTTTCGGCGCTGAACTTTAAACCACTTGTCACTTTTTCGGCACCGGCTTTTACAGTATTGGTAATTTTGTCCATCGTTCGAATATAGAAATTGTTTGTAGCTAGAAAAAAAAGAAAGTAGACTCTGAAAATGAAACAAAGACTCTATGTAGAATGTAGAAGCTTCTTCGATTGTAACGACACTCATTCCCTCATATCATGTCACGTCAAATGCTTCTACCTTGTCATAACTACCTTTTCTATCGATAAAACGAAGTAACGAAGAAAAAAAAGCAACACGTGGTGAATGATTATACTTGCCGTAATGGAAACCATCGAACCGAATCCTTGATTCGATGCAAGACGGGACGAAAAAAAAGTAATGATAAGAATATGTATATAGGTGCTTCATCATGTGATTGATGTTTTCGATGATAGTTGCACACATGAAATAGTGAAAAATACAAGAAGTTATTCTGACGTTTAAAACTGAAGTAGATCAATGAATATTTGTTTTGAAGGGTCAATGACTTTAAAAACGGTGCGAAACAGAGTTACTACGTGTGACAAAAATGCAGAAAATTATTTTTAGCCTTGACAAAAATCTTGATGAATTTCGACTTAACCCTAAGCATCAATACAACGATTAAAAGATTGAGTCAGTGATCCGTACGTTAACAAACATCAGCTTCAGAGAAATGTATCTCGAGACTTGATTTGCAACTAAGTTCAGTCTTCAAAGGAGAATACAACGACAGTACTGTTATTTTGACGAAGACCCATGTAAAAAACATTGAAATGAAAAATCGATTAAAGATCAATTAAAGTCATACGATTTTTAATCAATAATTCAGCAGTAATAACCATGGCAAGATCAGATTTTAATCGATTATTTCGATCATTATGATTATAATCGATTTAGTATATTTTCAAAAAGCCGATTATAATTATAATAATCGAAATAATCGATTAAAATCTGATTTTGCCATGGTTATTACTGCTGAATTATTGATTAAAAATCCTATGATTTTAATTGACTTTGAATCTATTTTGACCTCTCTAAAGCTGATTTTTTTTCGCATTTTTTTATATGGAGTGCAAGCAATAACTACTGAACTGCTCAATTAGGCAAGAAATTTCCATCGCACGTCGTATTAATATCAGAACAGTGAATTTGTCAATCGAAACGATTGTTTCTTGTTCAAGGATGGGTGTGGATGTGGATGTGGGTATGGGTATGGATCTTCTGTTCAGCAGAACCCACACCCACACACTCTCATAAATGTTGATATGGAAGTATAGATTTTATTTGTTTTTGCATATTAGACTTTGTTGAGTGTAAGGGAGTACTTGTCCTTATATGACATGGCAGTTTATTGTAATTTAAAAAAAGCATTTGGCAATATTTTTTACCTGAAAACTACTCGCACTCCTCGATGCTCACAGATTTTTGACATCTTCTGCTATATAAAAACTATGTTTCTGAGTGATTTATTACGCTACATGACTTTTACATTCATAATTGATATCCAATTGACTTTTGATAAATCTTCACAATTCTTCGGTTGTGCTCGATAACAAAGATAAATAATGAATTTAGTATCGCAATCTTGTGTCGGACTGTAGGTTAACTGTTTCTAAGAATGAATAACTTGTTATTTATTTTCTTCAACAAAAGTTATGACGGTACCGAATACTCCACGACAATTTGTTGCACATAACGTTCGAAATTGCAGTGTCCAACTAACATGTTCATTTCGAAATCTACACCGATCACCATAGCATCTAGGTGCACAAAAATATCGTATTATTTTCTTAGTGGTGTCCCTTCGAATCAGAATGTCTCGATTGCAATATCAAACCTGGTTTTATCATATGCTGCCGATTTCAGTCAATTTTGTAGGTAGTATTATTGCCGGTGAACTTTCTCTGCCAGCTAGATAAGCAGAAAAACTATTGTTCGAATTTTGAACCCTGAAATATTTTGGTCCTGTATGAAAGATCAATTTCTGGTCATCACTGCGATCTGTTAGAACAGATGTTATATTCCTATTTTCACCGTAGCAATCGTCTCCTCGGTTTTTAGAAGCACATAGTTTGTTGTTAATTCTTTGAACACAATCTACGAGAATTCTCGTTCTAAGATTTCGAACTCTGAATAGGTCTTGAAAACATGACCTGTTCATTATTGAAGGATATGAATGTGTGAATATTGGTGTATACAGTATTTGTGCGGTTAAGATCAGCTACACTTACTGATGATTAATTGGTTGTTGTGTTTGTAGAAAATAAAAGTTGATTTAAAATTTTAAAAATTTTTATTACTTAAAAATAATCTGGTACTCAAAGAGTTAAGGCAAACATCTGGGATTAGCATTGATAGAGATTCTGACTAAATGGCTTTAATTTTTGTTGACAATAGGCACGTTCGTCAGTTGTTCCAAGATAATCGTCTATACACCGTCACCAGCTTTATCCGTAGGCAAACAAATGATATCATAGGTTATCAGTGATATGCATTCATGATAGTAAGATTAATATTGATTATTACATGGCCAATAATGTGGTTCACAATTGGTCTCATTTGTTTCTAATTGTTCATCGATAAGTACGGATTCGGCATCAACAAATCCATTACAACGTTGTGGGAAAAAAACATTCTCGTTATCGAAGATCGATTGTTCTAATTTTGTCTTTCTTCTAACTATTATCATAGAATGATGATACTCTTATCGTTAAGAAACGCTCCACTATCAATAGATATAGGACAACAAGTTCGAGTAGCTTTCGTTTCAAATGTTCTGCGATCACTATTGGTTTCAAGAATCAATGGAATTTGAAATTATATTTGGGGTGTAGGTGTGGGTGAGGGTGTGGCTAGGGTGGGGGTGGGGGTGGGAGTGTGGGGTGTGGTGGTCTGTAGGTGTGGATGGTTAGAAGAGAAACGCGTCACTCACACCCAAAAAGGGAAAAAAGATAAGAGAAAAATAAGAAAAGAACGAAAAAAAATCATACAAAGATGATAATATAATGTAATATCACCAGTCAGCTTCCAACAAAAACTGTTCTTATCAAGATTTTTTTATTTCAATATTGAGTGAAGGTCGATCAAATAGCAAAGAAAGATAGAATGAAAGATGCTCTATCTATTCATAAAACAAGAAAAACAAACTTCCCTTACTATAAGGGAATAAGACCCTGACGACACTACTTTTGAGTTACCCTAAGTAAAATTTAACTATGAAAATGAATTTAATTATTTAGAAACTAACATAAATCAAATTAAAAATGATTTATACATAGATATAGAAAAATGGATTGAAAATGAACATGCAAAAAAAAATATTTCTCAAAATGATCGAGAAAAAATAATTTTGAAGAAGATTGAACTCGAAACTCAGCATCAAGAAATTAATAATGAACTAATAAAAAGAAATATTATTTCACAATCATGTACATTAGAATTGTTTAAACAACAATTAGAAAAACCAACATATGAAATGAATTTTAAAAGAGAAGCTAGAAAATGGCTTATGATTTTGATAGATATTGAAACAACAATAGAAAATTTAATCATTGAAAATGAGAATCTGTTTAAACAATATCTTATTTATCATCGGGAGAAATTTATTGTAAGTTCATCAATTTTAAAACTAATATGTAAACATGAAAAAATTAGTATTTTAGTATATGAAAAATTTTGTCAAATAACTACAAAATAAATAAAAGATAACAAGATCTTTAAGAAACTTGAGAAAAAATCAGACACTGTTAGATATTTAAAAAAAAAACATCAAGAACTGCAATTCGTCTAACATCAATAGATACAGAAGATTTCAGTGAAGTATTATATAATTATTATTCAGAATACAAAAAGGTTAATGAAACTCTTCTAAATGAGATACGTCAAAATATCATATCTATTGGAAATCAATCTGATGAAATGAATTTATTTGCTTTACATCGAATCATAGGAGAACAAATAGTTCCAACTAGAAAAAAGATATTCTATCCTTAATAAAAGATATACACAAAATAAAAGAATTCAATCCATTTATTATTCATGAAATACATAATTTTTATCAAAAAATAGAATGTTTTCTAGTTCATGAAACTCTGATGCAACACATAAAACGAGCTATTGTATTGATTCGGAATTATTATTTCTTACATAAGAAAGAAGACAACGACGAAAGAGAAAGTATCTTAGAAACAATGTTTACAAATATTTTAATGAAAAGAAATTATGATAAGGAATTATATCCGTCTTGGTTATTATTTGAAATAGAAAATAATCTTTTAATACATCTTGATCAAATCATTTTAGTAGAAAAAAAAATGATAAACGAGGAAACAAATAGTATTTATCAATTAAATATGGGAGAAGGTAAAACATCTGTTATTCTAATTATTCTAAGTGAGATTTTAGCTAATGGTAAGCAAACTGTAAGAATTAATTGTTTAGAATCATTAATGGGTAATATGCAAGAATTATTAAGGAATAAATTTAGTGGTTTATTACAGAAGAAAATCTTGAAAGAATAAAAGAATTACTTACTGATTGTCAATATGGAAAGCATATTCTCTATTAGTAACACCAGAACAACGTTTATGTTTTCAATTGAAAAAACAAAAAATGTTCTTAGAATATTTACAATCAAAGGATGCAGATGATCATTTTGATTGGGATGAACATCATCATCGAGCGTATACTTCGACTGTTAGATCTAGAAACCCTTACGGTTTAATAGATTCACAGAAAAATTTAATGGATGTTTTACGATCATTGAGATATATCGACAATAATCATAAAATGCTAAACTATCTCTCTGATGGTTTCCAAAAATTCCGAAAATTTTTTCAAGAAGTTGTCAAAGAAGTCGATCATTTGAGATCTGAAGATATAATGAACGCATGGATTATCTTGAGAACTCAGTCGACTGCACTCAGAGCTCGACGTAAATAAAAGTTAGAGTTACTTCATGCAATAGATGATTTTCAATTCTTAGATATTCTTGATGAATCTGATGAGATTTTATGTCATGGAAAAGAATTAAATAATACATTAGGATCTTCAAAACCATTAGATGGTGGCCCAATTCGTTGGGGACTTCCATTTTTATTTTTTAATATGATTTTTAATGAAGAACAATTCTGCGAAAAACTGAAAGTTGCTTCTCAACTAAATAATTGTCCAGTTGTTTTTCAAGAAAATTTCAGACCAATAAGTGAAATTGGAGGAGGAAGTTCTCTTGTCCGTTTTTGTAAAATATGAATATTTTGTAAAAGAAATTGTACCGGATCTTAGTCGAGAATTTTGTGAAATATTACTCTCAAGATTTAATCAAAAAACCATTAATATAGTTGATAATGGAGACGAAAATTGTGGATGTTATGAGGACTTCATCCGAGGAGAATCTGTATCGAAGGAAGATAAAATAATTAAATTATTGGTCGTAAAAAGCCAGAATATGTTGAATAGTCTTTTACTAGCGAAAGCTTGGTTACATCATGATATACTTTATCATGTCATGAATTATCGTTATCGAGTTGAATATGAATTATCGGGAAAAAGAGAAAAAGAAATTGCCATTTCATTTCGAGGTAAAGATTTATCGTCCGAAAATTCAGAATTCACCCATCCAGATATTATGATTGACTTTACTATTCTTAGTTATTTATATCGAGGATTAGATTTAGAACAAGTAAGAAAAAGGATTAATCAAATTAAAAAATGATCCGAAACAAAACCGAGATAGTTTATCACAAAGATGGGTTGATGAAAATAAAAATTGGATCGACGAAGCAAAAGAGGAACATAAAGCATTTCCACCATGGTTAGAATCTTTTAAGTCTCGATCTTGAAGATGAAAATAAAATTAAAAAAGTTCATCTTTATCTTTCTCGAAATTTTAATTTTATCAAATATTATTTAACTAATTTTACTTTTCCAAATGATATAAAACATTATGAAAAAAAAAAAACTTACCGGAAATGCTCACACATTAGCTGGAAAAGGAAGAACAAAAGGTTTTTCGGGCACCGATGATCGTAATGATACGATGCCTGAATCAGTTATACCAGAGCGATTACCATCTCAAAAGGGAATAAATGGTAAAATGTTACATATTTTATCACGAAAAATAAATAATACGTATATATCAATTATGGACATATTTAGTACTAAAGATGTTTTAAATAAAGTTTGTGTTTATGTTAAGAAAAATAAACATTGTTTTGTATTGATTGACGCAGACGCTCTTATTACAGAAATGAATAATTTTAATGTATCTCAATATCTGATTAACAAAATTGATACAAGATTCCGTGGTATTGTTTACTTTTCTGATGAGGATAATAAAATAATGGTTATATTAAGAGATGGAAAATCTTTACCATTATCAACATGCCATATTAATAATAAAGAAGTATTTGTTTATTTGGACCAAATTCATACTCGTGGAACAGATTTAAAGTTACCTTTAACTGCAAACAGAATTGTAACACTCGAAAAAACTATGAGCAAAGATAAACTTATGCAAGCAGTTATGCATCTTCGTGATCTTGATTTTAAACAATCGATTGTATTCTGGAGTTCAAAAGAAATTTCAGCAGAAATTGCCATTATAAATGATATTAAATTAAATGATATAACGAGTAAACATGTTTTAACATGAATTACTTATAATACAATTCGAAAAAATGAAAATAATCTATATCCAGTTACGAAAGAGAAATTAAAATATGTTATCAAGACTAGAGCTCTAAAATATCAGAAGAAAATAGAAATCCCTACAGATTCTCTTATCATAGCATATGTAAGTGAAAATTTGGATAGTATTGAAAAGTTGTATGGTATTAGTCCTTAGAAGCGAAATCCACGAGATCTTTTAAACCAGAATGCAAGTATCTACTTAAATAAATTTTATTCACAGTTGGAAAATGAATTTGAAAAGAAAAAGCAACCTAAAAAAAAATTGATTAGTGAAATCGAAAAACATTGGTATAATGAAGATAGACCGAAAATGGAAAAAACTATTAAAAGAATAGATTCAAAACTTCTAAAAAGAATTCTAACTATTGATACTGATTTTGATGGTAATCAAGAAAAGGAGAGAGAAATTGAAGAAATGCAACAGGTAAAAGATATTCACGTAATGGATAAAAAACCAATAGTCGAAAATCCATGGGATTTTAATATAGTTTTTGAGCAAAATTTTAAGAGAAACGGATTACAAGGCGCAAGTAATTATCCAAAACTTAAAGAATTAAAAAGATGTTTTTGAATTCACCGAAACTGATGGTTTAAAAAGTTTGAAATGACACAGTGAAGTTTTGGTAACAGAAAATTTTATCAAAACAATATTAGATGAAGATGATAGAAATGAGAAATATTAAACGGATTACTTAAAACCCGTGAATATGATATTAATTCATAGAACAAATACTAATCTATGTTTTATTATAGTTTCTATATTTGAGGCTAGAAATCTCATTCCATTATGTTATGAAAGAAATGATCCTAAAATAAGTCGAATGCATATAGATGACGTCAATGGTCCCACTATGGTACGAAAAAATGCTATTCAATTAAGAAAAGATGAAATTAATGTAATACTAAAATGTCTTCTTTTGTTAATAGACATTATTTTCATGAGAAAAAACGATTATCTGAACAAATTTAAAATGAACTTGAATCACAACATTACATAGTGAACAGTTTTATGACTCATAAATTAGCATCTAAATTAACAGATCAAAATGAAAAAGTCTTACTAGAAGCAGAAATAAATCATGGAATCGATCTACAAAATCGATTTCATTCAATTATTCAGGAAAGTATTGTAGATGAAGCTGAGCATATTTGGAAATTACCTGGATTAATTAGACAATTGGTTCAAATTAGAGGAAAAAATGAACAGTATTTGAGGAGTGAGCTAAAAGATATACTCAATATGAATCTAGAAAAACTCTAATGCCTATTTTTTCTAACAGTTCTCAATTAAATTTATAAGAAGCTTTCTTAACACATAAAAGTTTTATCATATTAGCTGTATGTTAGTTTTATCTTGAAAATTTTTCCAGGAATAGAATGTTGTCAATTAGTTTTCGATAGTGGACATCATCTTTCCGTCAGTTGTTATATCATTCTGTTACTTTTCCTTTTCATCAATATTTTGTACTAATATTTTTTGCTTTGTTGGTCTTCTTCTAGTTAAGTGAAATTTTCTTGTAACTGATGAACATGCACTTGTTTCATTTGAAGGTATTGTATTGAAAACTAATACTTGTGTTTTTCTTCTTTTGAAAGGTGTGGATGAATGCATGTGGCTTTAATAAAGACAACACACCGATACCCCACACTAGCCAGTTGTTACTACTTTCTAGTTTTTTTTTGTAACAATATAATTATAATAGAAGACATTTGTATAAACTCTACCTGAAGTCATTATTGTTGTCTGTATAGTTCTAAACGATAGAAATATGTCCAATAATATCCTATATATGATAGATGTGTGAAAATAATGCTAGCACAATACACATTAATATATACAAGACACGAAACGTACAACAATAAGCAAATCATTATAAGTATTATTCACTTATATTCACTGATTCAAAATGATGCCTAACGAACATATAAAGGAGAAAACATGGTAAGTTATTAGTGAAAGACATGAATCCTACGCAAGGTTCAAAACTAGTCCTACCATACACTGCTAATGAAATCGTTTTTTGTATAGATCTTCATTAGGATATGGTTGATCAAAATTTTAAACTCGAAGTCATGTAATTAATTTGTTATTGCTCCAGACGTGAACGGTGTTCTTAGAGTCCTTAATGAAATTCTATTCATGTGAGGGTGGATGTGGATGTGAGTAGGAATCTTTTCTTCACTCATTCCTACTCTTACCCCACATACACCCAAACTCACACCCACCTTTATCAAATATCACAAAAAGATAAAAATTATCTTTTAGACTAATGAATGGAATGTCATGTAAGATTTATTCTATAATATTGATCAGACTTTATAACGAAAAAAAGAAAATAACCTAAATATGATTGATAATTTTTGTTTATTGTTGACGCGGAGTTTTTTTAAAGCATTTAATTATTCTTGAGAAAGAAATCGAACCACAAGTACCAACTGGACCAATAATTAGACATAATGGTAAAAAGAAAAACATTGCAAAACCCCATGATGTTAGCACTAAACAAAATTCATAACTGATAATTTTATTTATTTGTTATTAAACATACTAATTGCCATTAAAAATTGTCCCATTTGTCGAATAGCAATAACTGATGCAAATATCATAGAAAAACCAGCAGCGAATGTTGTAAAAGCAGCCATAAACACTGCCGAACCAACGCGTAATATTGATCCTCTTACACGTGTTGCACGTTCAACTTGTTGTTTTCTATACATAACGCGCCAAGTATTTATTTCTAAAATACAAAAATCTTAACTTTTTTTTTATTATACTAAAAATAAATTACCACTATCATCTTCATTTCCATTAGGTTTCGATTGATCTTCAACCTTTTTTCTTTCATTATCAATATCTGTTGAGTCTGTATGAATATAACCAACACCAAAATGAACAACAAAATCTACTGATAGACCAACAGCCATAACAATAACAATACCTTCAATAATTCCTAATTCCCATTCTAATACAACAAATACACCAACAGTAATAGCTAAAGAGAAGAAATTTATTTTTCAAAAACTCTTTTTGTTAAAAAAGAAACAAACTATTAGATCAATCCATGTGAGATTAAACATAATAATCATTAAAAAAAAATTATGTTATTCCACTTATTTTGGGACTCATTTCTTCATCATTTTCTTTTTAACCTAATCCTCAAAAAATATAAGAAGGTATTGATCTACATTATATAAAATTTAAAAATCAATATCCTTCATTCTTGTACGAATATGCTTAAACTGTGAATTAAAACCAGAAGATAATTTTTTAAATACGTACACGTTTACATAAATACAACAACAATTATTTCATAAAAGTGAAGGTTTTGATGCTACTGTTAGTTCGATAAATTTTTTTTTCATTGCCACTTTTTTTTATTTCGATATTTTTACTTTCGATCAAATTTTACAACAATCCATTTAAAGAATATTTCATAGGAAAATAAAGGATGCTTACCAATAGCAAATGTAATAGTAATTAATGCATATACTGCAATAAATAAATTGCCTGATGTAAGAAATAATACCACTAAGGCAATACCCAATGATACAAGAAGAGAAGAAGAGGACCCTGAAAGTAATTCACGTTGAACACCATAAAATGCAAAATTTGATGAAGAAAACCAAGCATGCTTCAGATGTTCTGGTGCATGTTGTTTTATATATGGATCAAAGAAATTTTTTACTTTCATATAATATTTATTGTAAGAATTATAATCGGTACGATTGTGAACACCTGAAAGAGGTAAGAAATATATTTTAAAAAATAGATATATCTAAAATACTAAGATGTCGAAAAGTAATCATTTCTTTTTTTTATTTAATCGACTAATTATAGGTATTTCAAATCGATCATCTATATTTTACAAAAGATAATTCAAGTCTACGAATGAGAACGATATCGTTAATGAATACTCTTCATCGAACTATCTTATAAATTATAAGATCGAGAACAGCACGTAAAAATTTGATGTGAAAAACTTCAAGTTAAATCTCGAAAACTAACTCGCCGAGTATTACTAAAGAAAATTACAACATTCTGCTTAAAAAAAATACGATTTAATCGTTAGTATAGGAAATCGATACTTTAAATGAGATCATAATGGTAATTCTCTCACCTCGAATAGTAATCAAAACAGCAAATGGTCGAACACTTCCATCGATTGGTGATGGTTTATCAGGTAAAACTACCCAATTAAATGATCGTTGCTTAGTAAGTATTCTATTACAAAAATCCATTGGTACATTATCAGCACCAGCTACACCTGTTATACATTGCATAGCTGTTTTCAATGCTGAACATTGATATTCGTCTGTCAATGCATCACGTAGTGTATTATTTAAAGATATTCGAGTTTCATTAACATCATAATTACTTTGAATCTATAATTATTCATTGAACAAATAAAAGAAAAATATCATTAGAAACTAACCTGTTCTTTATAAATTCTTTCTAATGTTCTATTGAATGATTTTCGATAATTTGAATAAATAATAACTGGATTTAATCGATTTTTTAATTGTTTATTACTTATTTTATATAATGTTAAATTTATTTGATCTAATTTTTTTTCAACATATCCATCATGATCAGATTGATCATTTTCAATTTTATAATTAAGTGTACGTACTGTATCAGAAATTAAATTATCAATGAAAGTTTTATTTATTTTTCGTATATATTTAATCATATTCAAATGACTTGTTTTTGATACATTTAATTTAATTCGATCATTAATAACTTTTGCTACTAAAATATCATCCGTAGCAAGCTATAGATGAAAAAAAAAAAAATAATAAATTATTAATTAATCATATACATGAAGAAATAAATTTACTTCATAAAATAATTTAAAATCTTCTTCTAAATCATAATTTGACAAAAATAAATCTTTTCGTGTTCCTAAATGTTTAATAAAATTTTTAAAAAATTCAAGTGTGATTTGTCGATTTAAATATAAT